TTGAAATGAGTTTCCTGTAGGCAGCATATAGTTCTTAAAACTGTATTCTGCCAATCTATGTCTGTACATAGACCACTTACATTTAATGTAATTACTGATATTGTTAGAACTTAAGTCTGACATCTTTTATTTTCTGTTCCTTTTGCTTTTCATTCTTCTTTTTCCTGCCTTCCTGTAAATTACCTTTACATTTTTTAGTGTTCCATTTTGCTTTATTTACAGTATTTTTTAGTGTATCTCTTTGTACAATTTTTTAGTGGTTGCTCTAGGATTACAATATACATAAAACTTATCACAGTGTAATAGTATTGATATTTACAACTTAAAATAAGATGCAGGAAATTTATTTCTATTTAGGTCTTTTTATCCTCCCTGATTTATAAATATATAGATATCTTTTTAAATACATTGTGAATAGCATCAGACAATAGTAGAATTTCCTTTAAAACATCTAAAATTATTTTTAAAACTTGAGAGGATAGTCTATTATATTTACCTATATATTTACTTGTTCCGTAGGCCTTTTTCATTCCTGATATTTCAAGGTTTTTTCAGTTTTTAATTTCTTTCTGTTGAAGAACTTCCTTCACAATTTTTTAAAGACAGGTTTGCTGATAAATTCTCTTCATTTTCTCCATTTTTAAAATGTATTTATTTCACTTTATCTCCTAACAGATATTTTTACTGGATAAAGAGGTCTGGGTTGGGCCGAGCCGGTGGCGCACTCGGGAGGGTGCGGTGCTGGGAGCGCGGTAGCGCTCCTGCCGTGGGTTCGGATCCTATATAGGGATGGCCGGTGCGATGTACCTACTGGCTGAGCACAGTGTGGCCGGTCACAGAAAAGGACAAAAAAAAAAAAAAAAAAAAAAAAAAAAACAACCAGTAGTCTGGGTTGCCAGTTCTTTTTTTTCAGCATTTAAACAATGTTGTGCCACTTTTGTTTGGCCTCCACAGTTTCTGAAGAGAAATTTTCTGTCAACCAAAGTATTGCTCCCCACCCCACCCCACCAACATAAAATGTAATGTATCTTTTCTCTCTGATTCCTTTCAACATTCTTTCTTTGTTGTTAGTTTTCAAAAGTTTGATTATAATGTGCCTGAGTGTGGATTTCTTGGATTTATTTGTGTTTATCCCCATTGAGGCTTGGTTGGCTTCTTCAATCTGTAAGTTTATATATTTTGCCAAATTAGGGGAATTTTCAGCCATTATTTCCTCATATTTTTTTCAGACCCACCTTCTTTCTGTTCTTCTGGAACTTTAGAGATGTGAATGTTAGATTTTTTTGTTATTGTCCCAAATGTCTCTGAGGCTCTTTTTGTTTTTAAAAATCTATTTTCTCTCTTTTGTTTAGACTTCAATCTATTTACTACTTACTCTCTGTTGTTCAGAATGTATAATTTCTATTGATATTTCTTCAAGTTTGCTGATTCTTTCCTCTGTCAATTCCATTCTGCTATTTGGTCCTTCCAGTGAATTTTATTTCAGTTCTTGTATTTTTCAGTTCTACAATTTCCATTCAGTTTTTTATATCTTTGCTCAGACTTTCTATTTTTTTAATCTTTTTCAAGAGTGTTCATGATTGCTGTTGAAGCATTTTTACAATAGTTACTTTAAAATTCCCATCAGATAATTCCAATATTTATGTCTTCTTGGTGTTGGCATCTATTGATTGGCTTTTCCCATTCTACTTGAGAGTTTTCTGGTTCTTCAAATGATGAGTATAATGAGTTATTTTCTCTTTCATCCTGGACATTGGGGATATTACGTAATGAGACTCTGGTTCCTACTTAAATCTTGTCATTATCAAGGCAATAATCAGAACTCTGTTCACACATTCCTGGTGCCAGTCACCTTGTACAGTGGTTGAATCATAAGTTTTGGGTAATTTGCTACATAATAATTGTAACCACACACACACACACACACACACACACACACACACACTAATCCCAGTTGTATATAAAAGGGGAGATTGTATATATGTATGCATATATAATTCTTTTGTTCCCTGGGCCCCAGAGGCAGAAGAGCAGTAGAGGAAATGTGTCTGTGTAGGGTCTTTGGTGAGGTGGGGATTAGAGGTGATAGAGCCTCTATCATAGTTTAGGGGACTTGAAAGCTGGGCTGGACATCCAAGATGACTCAAATCCAAAATGGTTGGCAGTCAACGCCAAGGGAGGGTGGGAGCATGGTGGCCTCAGGGTAATCAGCCTTCTCATTCTGGCCTGCCACAGAGAAGAGTCTCAAGAAAACCAAGCAGAAGCTGCCTACCCTTTTCTTTCTTTCTTTTTTTTTTTTTCCTTTTTGTCTTTTTTTGTGACCGGCGCCCGTACCGGACCAGGACCGGCAATGGGATTGCAACCCTCGGTGTTGCGCCCGCACCTCGCTCAGCCAGTGAGCGGCCGGTCTGTATGTGGGATCCGAACCCTTGGCGGGAGCGCCGCCGCACTCCCAAGCGGTGCACTGTAGCAGTGCGTCACCGGGCCAGCCCCTGCCTACCCTTTTCTGACTGAGCTTTGGAGGTCATGCAGCACCTGTGGTTATACATGAGTCACTAAAGCAAGCCCAGATTCAAGGGAAGGGACAGATCCACTTCTCAATGGAGCAAGGGTCAAAGACTTTGAAGACATGTTTTAAAACGGCCACAGTCTGCCCTCTAGCCACAAATTATTTACATTACTTCCACATCCAAAATACACTCATCTCTTTCTACAACCTCAAAAGTCTCATCTATCGTGCCTGGCTCAGACTCAGGGTCCAGGATCTTATCACTATTGCCAGGATATACTCTTAGGAACTCTCAAGCACTTCCAGAGGGAGGGAAACAGGTGCAGGTCTTTGGGAGAGCAAGTGATGTGTATTTAGAACTGTGCTGCCTATTATGGTAGCCACTAGCCACGTATGATAGTTATATTTAAATTAAATAAAAATACGGTTCTTCCATTGTACTAGCCAAATTTTAAGTACTTAACAGCCACATGTGGCTAGTGCTGACTATATTGGACAGTACAGATATAGAACATTTCCATCACTGCAGAAAGTTCTATTGAATAGTACTGATTAGACAATATAAACACAGGTATGTTTTGTGAACTGGCAACCCTATTCCTAAATATATGTCTTAGTTTGGGTTCTCCAAAAAGCATACCCTGAGCCAAGGGTATACAGGTGGTATATTTGGGAGATGTCCCTCAGGAGCACAAATAGGTAAATTGAGACTGGGAGAGCAAAAGGCCAATAAATGGTGCAGAGTCTGGACTAGAGGAGAGCATCTAGAGTACTTGCCTGACCCTGAGAGTGAGCACCTCCTTAAATTTTGCACCCCATTCCCTCACTTGCATCACCCCGGCCCCAGCCCTGGAAGGGTTACTGCTGTGAACAGCTAGAGCTTATTTACACAGGGGGCCCTTGGAAGATGGAGGAATCGTGGAGAACACATCTCAGAATTGATCCACTGAGGAAAAGGGAAGCTGCAGTGTTTACTCACTGGTTCCCAACCCTCACTGGTTGAAGAATTCTCCTGGGAGAATCAGTCCTGGTACTTCCAGTCTGTTCTGCATGCAGACTGTAGAAAGACCTCAGCCTCAGATGGAGAAGCAGAAAGATCCGGGCACAAGAGGTGGGAATCTGCCAGCATGTGTGGGAAGTGCCCATCCTATCTACAAGTGAGCGAAAAGTGAGCAGAGGCAACATGGTAAGGGGGTGTCCGTTGGTGTGCTACGGTATATTGTAGAAAACCTCCCACACAGGGGACAGATGTGAGCCTTATGGTGATGGTGAGCTGGAGGCAACCTCAAGTGTCCATCACTGGGGGAATAGATAAAGTGCTACGGGCACACCATGGAATACAATGCAGCAGTTAGAAACAAGGAACTGGGTGTACATAGCTGTGTGGAGAGATCTCAGAGGTGTGGTGTTGTTTTAGAAAAAGGAAGAAGATTTATAGCACAATCCCATTTACGTAAATTGAATACACATACACACACACAAAATCACAAATTATAAAGATACATCTTTGCAGCTATATATCAAATGCATTAAAGTGGGTGTCTGTGAGGGGGAGGGGTGGAATGAGAATTGGGGATGGGAGGTAAAACCTTGGAGGGTCTTTCATGGGCCGGTTGTGATTCTGTGTTATGATCTGAAGAGTACGATTAATAACTTTCTGTACCTAACGGCTAAGAAAAAAAAAACAAAAGAATGAAAAACATGAAGTGCCCGCACATCAGAGCAATTTCTTACCTGCTACACAATTATTATTACCGCAGGGGTGATGACTCACTGCCTGCCTTCTAGAAGCTCTCCTCACTGCCCTCTCCTCAGGCATCCCTTCCAGTCCCCAAGAAATACTCTTGCCCCCAGTAAATAAGGAGCTCCAATTCAAATGCCAATCTCTCCTGGAAACACTGTCACAGCCATACCCAGAAACAATGCTTTACCAGCTATCTGGGTATCCCTTAAGCAGTCAAGTTAACATCTGAAATTAACCATCACCATCATAAAAATACTCACCGGAATGTCAGGAACATGAAATGAGTTAGTCCACAGAGCATGCTTAAACCAATGGCAGAAGCTGTCTCTCTGCCACTCAGGCGGCCTCGCCCACGCCCTCCCCTCCTAAGCCCCTGCCTGGCTGTGAGAGTCCTGCAGCCAGCTTCCCATCCCTCTAGTCAGGGGCTGCCCAAGTTCAGCTAGCTGAAGACTTCCCGGGAAGTCCTAAATGCTGCCCAGGGAATACCAAATGAGATTCTCCAGGCTCCTGGGACTGAATTTCAGTTTCTCTTTCCTTCTTGGTGCAGCTCCAGGCTCACCTGGCCCCACCCACACTTGTTCACTCACCTGGCTCAGGGAATGGCCCCATCCACTCATTCCTTTTAAGTCGAAGTGAAAATTCTTATTTTCATTTGCCTTTTCACTTTACACACATCATCTAGGGTTGCTCATTTACCCTGGTTAAAAAGCAGAGCCATGCAGCCAGGGAAGCAGTTGCAAATTGGCCATGGCTGCAGCATGGATCCTGGTGCTGATGCCTGTGGTGCTGGGTTTGGCCAGAGCAGGTCCTCTCCCCACTTCCAAGGCCACCACCACTGGGACGGGCTGCAACATCGGCAGGTTCAAGTCTCTGTCGCCACGGGAGCTGGAGGCCTTCAAGAAGGCTAAGAATGCCTTGGTGAGTCCCTGTTGTGGCCCTCCTACTGTGGCCAAGCCACTGCCCTGCTACTGTGGGCTAGCCTCTATCCCTGTGCTATGGGCTAGCCTCTGGCCTTCCAGCTGTGGCTAACCTCTATCCTTTCTGCTATGAGTCAAACTCAAGCCCTCCTGCTAGGCCAACCTTCATCCTTGCTGCTAGGGGCTAGCTTCTGGCCCTCCTGCTGTAGGCTAACCTCTGTCCACCTCTATACTTGCTCTCTAGGAAGAGTCCCTCCTGCTGAAAAACTGGAGCTGCAGCTCCCGCCTCTTCCCCAGGACCTGGGACCTGAGGCAGCTGCAGGGGAGCCAGAAGTCAGGCCGCCCGTCCCCTTGTCTTGGCTCTGTCCCCTGTCTCCATCAGGAGCCCCATCACCTTCTTTATCTCACCTGTCCTTCTCTCTCTGATCTCGCCTCACCTGGCCTGTGCCCCTGTCACTCCTAACTGCTCCCTGATCCTGTCCTTCCTCTAGATCCCTTTTATCATCACCCTGCCTGTCCTCACTTCCCTGTCTCCCTCGTCTGTCCCTCTCACTTCCACTCTTTTCTAGCTCCTTCTCATCTTTCTCTTCTTTTCTCTCCCATATGTCTGAGCCAGAAGTCAGGCCGCCCGTCCCCTTGTCTTGGCTCTGTCCCCTGTCTCCATCAGGAGCCCCATCACCTTCTTTATCTCACCTGTCCTTCTCTCTCTGATCTCGCCTCACCTGGCCTGTGCCCCTGTCACTCCTAACTGCTCCCTGATCCTGTCCTTCCTCTAGATCCCTTTTATCATCACCCTGCCTGTCCTCACTTCCCTGTCTCCCTCGTCTGTCCCTCTCACTTCCACTCTTTTCTAGCTCCTTCTCATCTTTCTCTTCTTTTCTCTCCCATATGTCTCTGGTCTGTCCCCCACCTATGCCCCACGTCCACTCAGCCTTTCCTTGTCTACTCTTGACACTGATTCCCTTGTCCCCCCCACCTGTCCTCCTCACCACTGCCCCTCACATATGCCCCTCATCATCTTTCTTCCACTGATCTTCCAGCACATGCTCCTTCATGCACCCTGCTCTCCTATGCATCCTGCTGTCTCTCCTCACCTGCCCCCACCCCATCCCATCAAACCCTGTGACCCCAGTGAGTCCCCTTTCATTTGTCCTCTCATTAGTCTCCTCCTTTGTCTTTCTGCCTCACCTGAATTCTCTTCGTTTACACCTTCCTCATATGATCCCCTCTCTTGTCCCCTCTCACTTGACACATCATCTGTCTCAGTCATATGTCCCATATCATCTGCCTCTTCTACTGTACTCCCTACCTGGCCCCACTTACCTGGGCCTTCTCGCCTATCCTTTCTCACCTCTCATCAGGTGCAGGAGCGCTCCATAGCTCTGGAGGCTGAGCTGGCCCTGACGCTGAAGGTCCTGGTGACCGTGACTGACCCGGCCCTGGGGGACATCCTGGACCAGCCCCTTCACACACTGCACTACATCCACTCCCAGCTCCAGGCCTGTGTGAGTAGTCGGGGCACCCAGGCCATCCATGTCTATGACTCTGACCATCCAGACTCCCCCCTGTCCCAGGTCCTGCCTCACACCCCACCCTCTGCCTGCAGGTCCCTGCTCAGCCCACAGCAGGCCCCAGGCCCCGAGGTCGCCTCCACCACTGGCTGCACCGGCTCCAGGAGGCCCCAAACAAGGTGAGTGACCAAGGAGAGGGGACATGTCTTGGGAGCAACTGGGAGCCCAGACAATGGGCAGCCCCTGAGCCCTCCCTTCCTCCCCACAGGAGTCCCCTGGATGCCTGGAGGCCTCTGTCACCTTCAACCTCTTCCGCCTCCTCACACGGGACCTGAAATGTGTCGCCAGTGGAGACCTGTGTGTCTGAGAATCTGAACCCACCCCCAGCCTGTGTGGGACCCCAGACTTTATTTATGCACTAAGCCCCATCTCTATCTTAAGTTATTTCCTCTCATCCCCTATTTATGGAACTGCAGCCCTGACTCAGACCCAAGGCTGAGTTTATTTTTTTTTTGTACAATGTGTGCAAATAAACAGCAAGGAATTGAAACCTCTGTGATAGGTGAATCCTTGAGTGTGTGTATGATAGTGGGTCTGTGACTGAGTGTAGATGTCTGTGTGGTACAGGCAAAATTCATGACTGGTTGTATATGTTTGTGTATGTCTGACTTTTTTTTTTTTTTAGATTTTTAAAAATTTTTATTTATTTTATTTTTTAATTTTTATTGAATCAAAATTGGTTATACAAATTTGGGGGGTTCAACACTGAGACATGTTGATCAAATCAATATTACTAGCATATGTATTGTTACAAATCATAATTATTCTTTATGCCTCTTGTCCAATCTCACCCTCCCCCTCCTCCTGCCCCTCCCCCCTCTAACTACTCTACATTTCTTCTTACCCTCTGAAAGAGTAATAGTTACTCTATTGATTTGTTGCCTAGATGATCTGTCCAATGCTGAGAGGTGTGGTCAGGTCCCCCAATATTACTACAGAGCAGATGCTTCTTCTGTCGACACTCCAGTGACTGGCAGATGATCTGCGTGGTGTTTGTGGTGTCTAGCCGCCTTCAGGGCAGCCATAGTTATAGTGGTGGCTGTGGTGGGCCACCCACATGGAGAAGATGATTTTGGCATGCACCTTGGCGCTGGCGGTGTGCCTGGTTGTGGAGAATGTCCAATCCCCAGCTCCATACCCCAGGTCCTCGAGTGGGTCCTGAGGCGCTGGCACAGTGTGCCTGGGTGTGGGAGGGGGGTCCGGTACCCTTCTCCATGCCCAAGGTCCCCGGGTAGGCCCCAATGCACTGACATGGTAAGCCTGGTTGTGGGAGGGAGGTCCGGTCCCATTCTCCGTGGCCCGGGTCCCTGAGCAGGCCCCGAGGCGTTGGTGGTGTGCCTGGATGTCGGAGTGGGATCCAGTCCCTGGCTCCAATCCTTGGGTTCCTGGGTGGGGCCCCAAGGTGCTGGTGGTGTGAGTGGTTGTGGGTGGGAGTCCTGCCCCTGGCCTCATGCCTCACGTCCCCTGGTGGGCCCCAAGGCATTGGTGGTGTGCCTGGGCCAGAACTAATTATTTGTCCTTTGCTTACTTCTAACGGGGGAACTTCCTGTGGGAACCAGTATTTGAACTGTGTGGTTGACCTAAATTGCTGCTTTGCTGCTGTTTCCCCAGGGAAAACATTTTGTGCAGTTCAGGGTTTAATGATTGACCTTATAGGTACTTCCGGCTCTGAAACTCGGTGCACCTGTGTTGTGTAGAAACTCTGATCTGGGCCTGAGTTTTTTTTTTTTTTTTTTTTTTTTTTTTTTTTTTTTTTTTTTTTTT